TGCAGAGTGTTATGTTTGCATGGTAAGTGCATACCTGGAGGGCGAGTTATCTCGGGAAATTCACGCAGTATTTGGTGAAATTCGGTTTCTCCGGTGACTGACTTCACCGAAGCGATGTACTCCGTTTATGTGTGGGCTACGGCGTTGACCAAGAGAGTAGTGACCTTGTCAACTAATCGTTGATTTCTACATTCGACGAATAAATTGTAGTGGCTGAGGAAGTCAACTCCGATGATCGGTCGCGTCACATCGGCTATTGTGAAATTCCATGTGAAATTCCGTCTCAATCCTAGATTGAGGTGTAGCGTTATCGGTCCGTAGGTGTGTATTACTATGTTATTAGTAGCTATGAGGTCATATCTAGATTTATAGCAGGGCGTCTTGACTGCTGATCAGGAAAAAACACAGAGGTCTGTACCACAGGAATATGTCCGAAAATAAACCCTTAAGGGTTTAGCCGTTACTTGCGACACCCCTGTAAGTTTTCCGCCTTGTATGTGCTTTCTTGAGTTGGATCGCAATCTTGAGTGTGAGCGGGAACGTTGTTGCCTGTTGACTTAAGTTGTGAGAAGTGCTACTTGCGTCGTTAGGTCAATTATATGCCTGGCCATAGTTTTATTGTTTTCCGGCGTCCTAGTAGATGTGCTGGCAACTTGCGGGCTCACCGGCGCGATCTCGTACACCCTGTCTGCGAGTTCGGCTAGTTTTTCCAACGATAAGTCTGTTATCTGACAAACAATCACAGTTTGTATATTAATGGGTAAACGACTCGACCATAATGTTTTAATGACGTCTGATGCTGCAGATGCTCCGGCTAGATTCTGCAGGTGGCGTAAGAACTGCGATGGTTTCCGATCTCCAAGCTCTTCGTGGTTGAGCAATTGCTGGAGGCGCTTCTCCTGCGATACTGAAAGACGACGTATTAGTTCCGTTTTCAATGTTAGGTACTTATCGGTTCTAGGTGGGTTAGTAATAATATCCTTAACTTCCCTAGCGTACGGAGGTTCTAGTTGCGCGGCTACGTAGTAGAATTTTGTCTCGTCATTCGTGATCCTGGACAATAGGAACTGGCCTTCAATTTGCGCGAACCATAAGGCAGGCTCATCGACCAGGAATTGGGGTACTCTAACACCAACTCTCAAAATTTCTGCGGGAGTCAAATCTTTCTGATCGGTGACGTTGACTACACTCGGTTTGTCCATCATAGTACAATATAAAAATAAAAAAATAATGATAAGCTCACCTTGTTGACTTGGACCACGCCCTATCCTTTGTTATCACCACGTTGTTTTAAAGCTAAATCGTTGATACCGTACGATGCGTAGCACAATTTACCGTTATTTCGGCTTTGTCGACGGGTCACCAATTGTGGGGTTCACCAATCCAAACGCGGGTCACCAATTGTGGGGCCACTCCCCAACGTTGTATTCAAATGTGGAACCGATGTGTAGACCACACCCAATGTTGTGTTCGAATACGTTATATTGTAAATAATCGAATACTAATGAAGGGCAGGAATAAGAATTAACTGACTCGAATGAAGTAATGTTATTTCCATGTAACAAACGCTAGCAAGCGCTTATAAGCGCTGAAATAGTTTTCGGCCAGGACACGATTGCTACTTCAGTAGCGCTGACACAATCCGCCATTTTGCTTATTTAATTTGTTTGTTTTGAAGTAGAGTTTATAAGTTGTTTTGCGCAATATTCGTTTTAAGTAATATAATGACATGAATAAACATATACATGTTATTAAAAATTCATGATTGGTAAGTTTTTAATATGAATACTTTACAAACATATATTTAAATTAGGTTAGGTTCCCCGGTTAAAACTAACATCGTGTCCTGGAGGAAAATAGCTACTTACGATTTGACAGCGCTTACCGCTTACGATCGCCATTTTGCTTACAATCGCTTGCTAGCGCTTTTTTCTGCCAAACGCACCCATTGTAAGTTAATTGATATAAGTAGCGCGTCGCGTTCTGTTACTATGCCGGTTGCAGGCGGAATGAACGTCGCACATTCTCGCGTTTCATTGAAGGCGCGGTGTCTTATCTTATCGATGATTTGCATTGTTCCCTGGTTGTGGCGTGATATAAGCGTTTGGCTTAGTCTTCATGCGCGTAGAGGATTAGCGTAGGTCTAAGTGAAGCGAGTTACGCCACATAGGAAAGATTATTCAGTATTAACTACGCTAGGTACACGACGATGATGATTATTAAAATCATAATTATCGATGTTATAAAAATATATACTAGCTACATATTTAATCACGCAACAACAATTGTAGCTACAAGTGTTAAGTTGTAGCTATGATTTTTATAAGCAACATATATATCACAACGTTTAGGGCATAGTGAACGTTAAGCGGTCCCGAGACGGCCAAATGGTTTGATTCAAACCTCACGTGTTTGACCAAACCGTTTGATTTCGTTTTGAATTTGTACCAAACAGAAGCGCGCAGTGTGGCTTCAAAATTTAAACAAGAAAGTTCTATTGTGATCTCAAAAAATGCCGTCGGCTATGGATAAAGATTCTCTCGCATTTATTGTATGATTACCTTGTTTAAATAATGAGAAAAAAGAAAAAGAATTTGGTGCAAAGATTGTTACAAATTAAGATATCGTTTGATATAGTCACTGCATATGACGTTGAGACGTTTTCAAAGTCTATTTCATCTTCGTCTGTTATTTTGGAAACTACACAAAACGTTTCGCTTCGAAATTTTGTACAAGACTGATAAGGTTTGATCAAACACTTCGCGAACACGATCAAATGGCGCTTCAAATAAAACTTAAATATAAATTTCCATCAAACGAGCTTCAAACACGTAATCAAACCTCCTTTAGTGCTAACGTTCAATAGAATCGATTTATAATGCACGCAAACAAGCGTGACGTTCACCTATAGGAGCAGACAGAGAAAATAACGAAATGCGTGTATTTAAATGGTGCAGTACAAAATTATATGTATGTATAATAATATTATGTATTCGCTCATTGTGCGACTGAAGGTGAACTCCGCGCTTGTGTGCATGCGAACTTTTTTATGAGGCTACGTGCTTTTGTTCATTCTGGTTAAGACAACGCCACAGATATAAGGTCATTTATTTGGTTACACAAATACATGACCTTAAGTGATACACAGAGTCTATGAAGATAATTTAATCAGTTTTTAATAAAGTAACTCAGTTTAGTTTGACGCGTAGTGATACGTTTGTGAGTAATATTCACATTTTGTGCATTAATTTATTTCTCAGTTGAGTACCAAATACAGTCACAGAACAGAAAATATCCTCCAGACCGAATTTTGATCACGGCAGTACAGGATTAAACTAGCGCAGGACAGGATTGGAGTGCACGACCGTGTATACGTATGTAGAGGTGCACTTTCTATTGCCCATACCCTTATAGCCAGATGGAACGATAATCCTACTCCACCGAATATTGATCGGTCACAGGATCAACGCCTTGACGTGGCACAGTAATGGAATACCACCAACATTTTGACTTCCGGTTCCTACTGAAATTACTTATACAATAACCCACTAATTAATTATAGAAAGAACCAGAAGTCGAAACTGGGAATAAATGAACAATAGTTGAAATAAAACCAGCAGTGAAAATTAAACCTGAATTCAGCTGATGGGTGAAAAAACGCTCGGACGATGAACTCTTTTTATCTATTTGATGCGAAACAATGCAATAGGTATTACTGTATTTATGCTCAATCTGCCCTTCCCTTTCCCACACGCACTGGCACCTTCCTGGCCGACTCGTATCGCCTCGAAATTTACATCTCTTCAGCGTTGCCAACATGTATGGAATTCCTCAAATTACGGGGAATTTAAAATTGGTTGTAGATTTTTAGAGGATTGATTTTATGCAGGGATTTTTAAAATCGACTGCCGAAGTCAGAACTTTTTTTTTTAAGAAATCTAAATATTTATCTTAACATTTTTGTTAGGTTACTTATGACTATCGAATTACTCCCTTTTTAATTATCATCTTGCATCACATTTAATTTTCGGATTTTTTGGCAGCTTTTGTGTATCATTGCTTTTCATTTCTTTATTTTTTTATTTTGTAGTAGAGTAAATGCAGCTACTTTGATCCTTTTTAACGGCAACAAGAGAACGAATAAAAATACTCTATGGAGTAAAATATTTGTTACAAAAATATGGAGTGTGAAAAAAATTTCAGAAAAAAAATGTTAGTTAAAAATAAATGTTATAAAATTAATTAAAAATTGTTTTATTACTTAAAATAAAATTGAAGGGAATTCAAAATGGACTTTTGAGGAATTTGAGAAATAGGTCAAATTTTAGTAGGTTAATTTCGGTTTGTGCGGCAATGCCACGCCGAAATTAGTTTTTGAGACAGTTCTATATTGACATGCGCATCGAGCGACAGTTCAAACGTTTTTTTTTGTCAAATTTTTGACGTTATTACTTGTCATTACTTGTTGTTACGTTTTGTGTTTCTTGTTTTGTTTTAATAATGCCTAATGCGTACCTTTATAGTGCTCGTGAATATGTCAACATGTTAATGAGCCTTGGACAAGCTCGCGGTAATGCTTCGCGTGCATTAATAATTTACAATTTTATAACATATCGCTAAATTGTTAAGGCACCGGGATGGAACAAGTGTGTCACGGACGGAGTAATGTCACGGACGCCCGTCCTGAGATACATAGTTAGTGAGTCGGAAGAGTTTATGTAAATTTAAAATTATTTGGACGTTGTTTAAGTTAGAATTTTTGTGCAAAAGTTAAACATCTGTGTACTGCGAACCTATATGGTGTGGATACATTAGAGCGATTAGTGAATAAATAGTAAAAAAAACAACATTTACATATTAAAACATTTTATTTTTAAATGTCATCGAATAAAATTTAATAACATAATACCGTCATATAGTACTGATCAACACAGCTCCATCTCACGCTTCCGTTGTGTACTAATAAATCAACGCATAATTTTGCTTTATTAACTACTCGTATGGCAGTTAAGTGCAGTGCGTGCGGTAAATACATGTCTCCGCAAGATGGCGCTAATGTTACTTGTACAAAGTGCAATAAACAGCTACATCGTGCGTGTATAGGCATCGCAGTGGGCGCTTCACTAATGCCATCCTGGGCTTGCCCTGAATACACATTGAAAGAAAAACGTTGCAACAAGGACACAACGCCGGTAAAACCCGCAACAACTACTGTTGCTAATTCGAGTGAGGTTTCAAACCTCGGGGAGGAATTGCGATGTTTCCGAGAAGAAATGTGGCAAACCCGCGAAGAATTTCGGGCATTCAGAGAAGAACTTCAGGACATAAGAAACCTTGTCATCAAATGCGATGCTCGTTGAGATAAGCTCGAGAACACGGTCCAAACTATCCTGGAATCACAAGAACAATATGGCTCTCAAGGATTCAAAATTGAAATCCTAAAACTCGAGTCGACCGTCAATCAGCTGCAAGCCGACTTAAACGATAGGGATCAGGAGTTGCTTGCAAACGACGTCGAATTAAGTGGCATTCCACAGGAGAGTGGGGAGAACCCAACACACTTGGTTCTATCAGTTGTGACTAAGCTTGGTGTTCATTTGGAGGAAAAGGAACTGGTCCATTGTATGCGAGTGGGGGGCGCCCGTCAGGATGCCACGTCTCGTCCGCGGTCCATCGCTGTGCGGCTGGCGCGGCGCGACGTGCGTAACGACGTGCTGCACGCTTCCCGCGTCCGCCGGTCTCTAACAACCGAGGCTCTAGGTCTTAAGTCCGCACCCTGCAATATCTATATAAACGAACGACTGACTAAAACAAATAGGCAGTTGTTTCGCATGGCACGCGAGACAGGCAGCAAGCAGGGATGGCGATATGTTTGGATGAAGGGAGGCCGAATTTTTGCATGTCGGGAAGCAGGAGCTCCAATAAATCGCATTCGATTCAGCGCGGATATTGCTAAGGTTTTTGGGTCCGAATTTGTTCGATCACCATAACTGTCTCTCAGTTTACCTACAAAAATGAATTAGTGTTTTTAATTTCTTTATTTAATTTTGTAACTATTTACTATCGTCAAGTGTTTTGTGGGTACCGTTTAGGTACAAATTAATAAGATAACAACTTCGAAATCCCATTTAAAAAAATATATAGTTGGGCCAAGTTATCGTAATAAGCTATTTGTATTTCCATTTACAGTTATAAAATATTTGCTACCCATATACATTATTTGTTATAGTCCTTTGAATTTTATTAGTGCATCATTTTTTACTAACTGTTTGTCAAACAAAGTAAATGTCTTTTTACATTACTCAGACTTTATAAAGCTTGACGCTCATTGTTGTTGTTATTATGTGTGTAGTAGGACAATGTCTAATGATATTTGTTGGTCAAAGATGTCAATTGTGAATATACTTTTATATCATAGAACATGACAAGTAATCTTAAGTTAGGGCTTTTAAATGTAGGTTCACTAGGTACAAGCCATGAAGAACTAGTAGTAGCTATAGATCGCCACGCTGTCGATTTAATGGCGATTAACGAAACTTGGTTACATGAGGGTGAGGAAGCGCGCGCGCCCGCGGTGCCAGGATACCGGTTACGTCACATTCCCCGACCGACCAATGTGCGCTCGCGAGGTGGCGGAGTTGGCTTCTATATACGGCAGGGTCTAGCTGTTCGAACGTTGCCTCATCCTTCGACTCCGCTTGTAGAACAGATGTGGCTTGCTCTAACTATTAACGGTACTAAGATCGCGATTGGTACTGCCTATAGACCACCATGGTTAAACGTAGACACATTTTTCGATGCTTTGTCTGAAACTATCGGGACTCTTGCATGGTGCAATTATATAATCTTGTTAGGGGACTTTAATATAAATATATTGAACACAGCGGATAGTAATTATAAAAACCTTAGAGAATTCTTACAGTGCTACAAACTAAGCCAATGTGTAACTAAACCAACTAATTTCACCGATCATAGTCAAACCTTAATAGATATAGTTTGTACAGACATCCAGCAATACAATATTTTAGTTAATCACATACCCGATCTGAGTAGCCATGCATTTATTTGTTGTGAAATTAATTTCAAAAAGCCCAAACAAAAACCAATTATAATATCACGCAGAGACTTACATTCCATTTATGTCGAACAGTTTCAATTAGATCTAAAGTCGATGAACTGGGAAACCATCAACACCCTGAATGACGTTAATGATATGGTATCTCTTTTTAACACAATGATGTTAACCATATTTGATATTCATGCGCCTCTTTGCACAAAAACTGTAAGACATTTACAATATACCTGGATCACTTACTATATAAAAAAAATATGAAACTCCGGGATGAAGCTGGTTTAGGAGCACGTAAATCTGGTTCAGAGGTACATAAGAACTATTATAGGGAACTAAAAAATACTGTATTGAGGCGCTTCGCAAAGAAAAAGAGGCATACTATGACTACTATATCAACAATACTAAAAGAGATCCTAAAGCCATATGGTCACACGTAAAAAAATATAAGGTTAAAAAGTAAACCAGAACTACCGTATCATATTTTTAATGATCCCAATTTAATTAATACCAGCTTTTTAAATGTTCCTGGACATGATCAAATACTTACTTCTCTCTTTGAATCTCATATAAATGTTTCATGTAAATTTAAGCTAAAGACAGTACAGGAAATTGATATTTTAAAAATAGTACAGTCATTAAAATCAAATGCGGTTGGCATAGATGGCATATCCTTTAATATGCTCGAAATGTCAATACCCAACACAATATCTGTTATAACAAATATAATTAACAAATCTATAGAAACCCATACATATCCCACAGAATGACAACACGCTTTGGTCAGAACTATTCCTAAAAACGCAAATCCAACTAACATGAAGGACATCCGCCCGATCAGCATATTGCCCTGTGTGTCAAAGATTTTAGAGAAGGTTGTGGTCGAGCAGCTAAGAAAGTATTTGGAAACAAATGAAATACTCCCTAGTTTACAATCGGGTTTTAGGCAACATTATAGTACAACTACCGCTCTGATTAAAGTAATCGATGATATTCTGTCAGACCAGGACTCTGGAAAAGGCACAATATTAGTTCCACTAGACTTTTCTAGAGCATTTGACTGCTTGAATGTACCATTACTTTTGTCAAAATTGCACTATTATGTTACGTAACTGCGGTGAAATGGTTTGAGAGCTACTTTAAATATCGCGCACAGCGAGTAAAATTTCTGACCATAGAGGGTTGCCGCTAGTTTCTGATTTCAAGGTTGTGAAACAAGGTGTACCTCAAGGCTCAATTTTAGGACCAATTTTGTTTGCTATGTACTGTGAAGATATGGTAGATCACATCAAACATTGTAGATACCATATGTACGCTGATGACACACAGATTTATATATCATGTAAGCCTGAGGAAACTCAATCAGCAATAAACAAATTAAACAAAGATTTAGAAGGCATTGCTGATTGGTCAAAATCGAATGCTCTTGTTTTAAACGGAAATAGGTCAAAGTATATGATTCTAGGAACGGCTAAGCAAATTCAAAACATTGCGAATCAACGGCTTCATGTCACCATAAAAGGGGAACAAATTGAACCTGTGACTGAAACTCGCAATTTAGGTCTGCTTATGGATGATCGTTTGCGCTTCGAAAATCACATACTTAATACTGCTAAAAATTGCTTCTACAGACTTAAAGTCCTGTATCAAATTAGAAATTTCCTGAACACAGATATTCGAATAAGGCTCTGTGACTCATTAATTCTTTCTAAATTTAATTACATGCATGTAGTTTATGGTCCTCGTCTATTAATACGTAGTCAAAAACTCATTCAGCGAGTTCAGAATGCATGTGCAAGATTTTGCTTCTGGATACCGCCACGCACTCACGTTACGCCGTACATCAACGAAGGCAACATTTTAAAAATGATATACCGTCGTCACTTTCATTTAGCAACACTACTGATTGGTATAATTAAATATAATATGCCACCTTATCTCTTCCAAAAGTTGGTGTGGTCGTGCGACGTAAATTCAAAAATAACTCGTGCGTCGACTTATTCTCTCGCCGTGCCATTCCATCGCACCGCTGCTTTTCGTGGGAGCTGCAGGTACGCTGCTTCAAAGTGTTGGAACGACCTGCCGCCACCGCTTCGTAGCCTGAAAACAATTAAAACCTTTAAAGAAAAATATAAAAACTATCTAATATTAACTCAGAAGAACATAGGCTGAAGCGTACTACTCACCAAAATGGGTACTGGCACATAGCACAGGCGGTCAAGGTCGCAACTAATAAAGTGAAGTGATGATAATATAACCTTAAATTGGATACTGTTCGGATAGGTCCACTGACCGTAGGCTAAAAAAAAGTGTAATTTAGTGTCGTCAATCAATAACTGAGGTAATTTATGTATAAGTTTTAGAAATAAGTGTTAAAATATACATATATTAATATAAGAAAACAAATAAAACGTAATAATAACTTTTGAAATAATGTAACATATTAATTAATAAAGTTAAGAGCACACTGGTAACAAAATTTTTGAAAATAAAAATAAAGTGCATGTATAATAAGCACATGTACATACCTTTGTTTGGTTTGAAATCAATAATTTCAGCATAGTTAGACGGATTGGTTTTAGAATATTATTATGTATCACTCGCGGACGTCCGTACGTTATTATCCGTTCGGGCCCACTGAAAACCAGCGCTGTTGCTCCGGCGACAGCATAAGCTGAGTGAGGTCCGTTTGTATGACGCGCTACAACATACTCGTACAATATGAGAAACGATTCTTTGTGTCTTTCCATTTTTTTTAAATTATAATCTATAAGTATTAATACTTTTAAATTGTTTTATCCGTCAAATTGTTGTTTTGTTTACTATTTTTGTTTTAAGCTATGGCATAGCTTCTATCGCGGGCGTTGAGCGCGGGGACCGAATCCAGAAATTCATTCTGTAACGAAAAAACCTCACGCTCCCCACTCCGACGGGCACGGAGGTGTAGCTTGAAGGCCGTGCATCGTCTAACGTCGTTTCAGTTCGGCAGACTTCGGCACTCGGCAGATTTCGGCACGGTGTTTGTGTGCGTGCGACTAGACGTATGCGTGTACACTAGCTGCTAACTCAATGATAAACATTCTTGAATAACCTACATGTATTGTAAGATCTTAAAAATATTTTAAACAATATTAACTTTTCATTTATTCAATAATTATTTATGTAATCTAAGTATTTTGCTTACTCCAAAGAAAACAGTTTTAATTTTTTTATTGGATGGATTGTCAAACGAGCACACATACCACCTGATGGTAAGTGGTTGCTGCAGCCCATAGACATCTACATCTATCC